CAAACTAGACTTTGTTTAAACTCTTGACTCTGGAGTGTCAGGTGTTCCCCTCAGAGGCTGGGAGAGAATGACCTCCGACCTGGTGACCAGCACTTCAGCATAAATGGATTAACAGTGGCATGAGACAGTCAAAACACACAGAGAGGATGATCCCATTTGCCTATCCAGTCCTTGTTCAAACCACTCCCGATGATTACTCTGACTGCATAGGCAGACAAACAGCAAGACGACACACACACACACACACACACTCACTCACTCTACCCTTCCCTCAATGTCAGTGCCCCAGCATATAGGGGCCCCTCTTTTTGCCCCTCACCAGTAATATGATCTATCTCTGACCTGAGGTTAGAGTAGGAATCCTGACCCACGGTAGTTGAAGACAACAGATTGAGCAGTCACAGTTAAATGGCTACTTGCAAACTATAAGATGATATAATTATGTAATACATTCCTTTGTAATTGAAAGTACGTCATGAGGTTTCATCAAACTTGAGGTTAAAACTACAAGAAACAGTGAGATGTGTGTATTACTATGTAATAGTGAGTGACCAGTGAGTAAGAGGAGGCTGTAAAACACTATTACGTGTCAGTGGATGCTTTGTTTCTGCATTACACATTATGTTTCATTCAAATACCCATTCAAAACAACTCCACCAGCTGTTCGCTGTTATGACATATTCAAATTCGTTACTCTCTTCCTGGAGTAATGCTGGAGGGCACTTCACAAGACATATTTTCAAGACAGGTGTTTGTTTTCTTGGAAAGAGTTAGAGTCATGAATATGAAGTCGGATGCTTCTGTAGATCCAGTGCTGGCCTTGGGGCAACGTGGGAGCTGGTAACATGGCTTAAGTAACACACTGCATTCCAGTCTACTCTCTCACACTTTCACTGAACGACTGAGTGTACCTGTAGCATAAATGGAACAAGCCTTTTAAAGAGAAACTCCCAGCCCCACCTAGGACTGTATCAAAACTTCAACAGGTACAGATAAGGCTGCGTCATGCCATGCAATAACACAAGGGATTAGTTAAATGTCTGGTAACTGTCGTGCAGCGGGTACCCCCTCAAACACAGCTTGGTGGAGTCTGTTTTAGTGTGTGCGTGCTCAAACTGTTGCTCATCATACATCACATTCGCTTCTGTCTGGGAACTGTCTGCTCAGCTTATCATTTCCCTGCAACCAGCCTGAATCTGTGTGTGTGTGTGAGAGAAAGAGAGAGAGTGAGTCACGGTCAGACCCAACACAGGATGAATAGATAGGAAGAGAGACAGTAAAAAGGAAACAAAAGCTAATGACTCAGAACTTAAAATCTTCCTCCTTCAATAATGTTCAAGTACTTTGGGCTCGTCCTTCTGAATCCTACTTTGCAACATATTTCAGAGACAAATTAGTTTAACAAAGAAGCCACACAGGGAATCAATGGTAAACATCCAACCCTAATTACCTTGTTTATAAACAGTACCCCATTAAATAGGAAGCAGTGGTATAAAGTAGTAGATATTTACTCACTCAAAGGCTCTACTACAGATAAAATGACAGGCCCTATCTATCAATCTTTTATGAGCTGGCAGTTGCAATAGCACGAGCCAAAGTCTGAGTTAATATATAACTGCTGTGTGTGTGAGACTACAGGCGGTAGCATTACAATAGCACCAAAACAAATCACAAAAGTTAGCAGGCTGCAGCAAAGGAAATCAATTTCCCATTTATCTTTGAGGTGCATAAAACAACAAGAAGAAAACAAGGTCTGTAAGGACTCCTGTGATCTCAGTGTCCTTTGAAGACCTAAACACAGATGGTGAGTGCGTTGAGAGAGATCCATCATTTCTGACAGGACTCAACGCCCCTATTAACATAAGTCCGAATCGAGACAAACAAGGACATGTGTCCAGCAGACACCACTCACTCTGGTCGTTGATTCTTTCATTGGACAAAATGTGACAGTCACCTTGGACCTGACCACCATCTCTCCACAACAGTGGCTTTGTTGTTATGGCAGAGCAGCAGGAGTCCAGAAAAAACAGATTCATTCAAAGTCAGACGTGTCAAAATTAAAGTATTTGATCATATTTCTGTCTGGAATTGATTAACATCCCTCTGTGGTGAGAAATAATGTCCCACAAGTGCCATGTATGTGCATTCATAAATCATAACATACATTTACATGTCCTATTAGTTTATAGTGACTCCTCTGGTTTTATTTACTACAATATTACCACAGTACTGCTATGGGGCCAGAAATGTTAAGACATACCCTAGCTCTCACACTTACAGACCACCAACTAGTCACCAGCCCTGCAAACTTACGGATTTTGATTTTCTTGGGATCAAACTTGTGGATTTCACCCTGCAGATTTTGCAGGCGCCCCTGAATCCTGCAGGATCTTCTGAACACCATGCCTGCCTCCATCTCGATGGCCAGGAAGATGTCGCTGGCATGTCGAGAAAGGTCGGAAAGTTGGTGAATAATGTTGGTCAGTGTGTGACAGCTGATCTCATCCAGTGACGAGAACAACACGGGTCTTCGCAGTTTGCGTCTCCCGTTTTCCTCCGCCGGTATCCAGCAGCCATCCCTCGCCGATAACCTACTAACACGGCGCGGCTCGATGCTCCTCTGATGAAAGGGCATATTTATTTCATACCAATAACTCCAGCGGGACCGAAAAGTGTTCACGCAAAAAAAAAAAAACCCTTTTAAAGCTTTAAAATAAACCCAAGGCGCAGTGCCTTACTATCATTTGCGGGGCAGTATAAGCCTTCAATCCCGCCATATTTTTTGTTTTTCAAAGCATGGGACTTTGTGCTGCTGTACACTGGAGACGTTGCCTCCCAAAGTCTATTCAAATTCAACCAGACAGAGAGCAGAGGGCTGGAGAGGGGAGGAAAAAAACACAAGGAAAAGTAGGGGGAAAGTACAAATAAAGACCCGGAAAATACTACAAACCACCTGTGGCGACTGGACCCGGAGTCGGATACACGGAGGAGAGCTTACCTGCCTCCCTTCAGTCAGTACGGCGGTCTGATGGAAAACCCGGACCGGATCTCTTCCAGCCGGATCCGGAGGGAGCGAGGATACCAACAAACTGAGAAGTTAGGAGAAAACCACAGTGTGAGGCAGAAATCATTGTTTTAATTAAAGCTATATCAACCACTGTGTTTAAATAACACATTTTCTATCATTTATTAAACTGACTAAGTGACATATTTTATGGATATTTCACATTATATTCAAAACTGTACAATGAACCCAAACAATGAACTCAAAATGAGATATTTGGATGGATTTTGAGCAGATTATTTCCTGATTAGGAAACTTTTTATACTATTATCTGTCTGTAGAATGTATGTTTTTAGCATTTTTATCAAGCACACAAACATAATAGGCTTCTTTTGTTTTGACAAATTGAGTTTTTATTTGTCCCTGATGCTTGGCCATTGTTCTAATAGACAATTTTGATTTGGGCACCAAATACTGAGATATGGGCCTAAATATACCTCACCTTTTATTTCTTTAACTCACTTTTAGATATATATTTAGAGTAACTGGCCAAATTGAGTGTAATTTAAGTTAATAGTTTGGTCAAGTGAATGGACTTAATAGTTCTTTTCACATTAAATAGCCGAATAACTTCACATTAAAAAGGGCAGAAGGCATTAAAACTGTCTTCAGGTCTGTCAAGCTTTTACAGAACTTTAGGTAGCTATGTTTTGGTTGTTTTGAATAACCTTAAACTAAAATAAATGGAGAAATAAGGACATTACAGTTACCTGTAGGTGTATAAAGATGTGAAACTACAGTTAGCTAAACTAGCGTTAGCCACTATTTAACTAACGTTAGCAAGTTATTTAGCTATAAATTATATTACATTTATTTACAGCTAACATAAAAACAAATCGTAAATGTGTGTGTGTGTGTTTGTTATAAGCCGGTGACTCTTGAACTTCTTATTACATGTAATATGTTATGTTTTATTTCAATAATAAAAGGACCCGCTAAACACCCAATGGCTACTTACAAGTTAACTCTCGTTTTAAACAAAAAGACAATGTCAGTTGTTTGCTCATACCTTTTTAAAATAACCACTGGACAACACATTCTGTGAACACTTGTCTCTGATTTATCTCCTCTCTGTGTGTGTGTGTGTGTGTACATTAGTCATGTTTGTCCAGGGCCTGTGTTCAGCCCACTGCCTCACATTCCCACCGTTAAAATTCCTAAAGAGCAAACTGCCATCATTGATAGCATACCAAGCCACAAATCCCAGCTGTAGTTCAGTGGATACTCTTCAAAGTCTGGCTAACAGTGTCCAGTTGGCACTATGTGTCTCTGTGGCATTCAATGTGCCCCCTGGTGTCTTCAAGTGAACACAGCAACTCCAATGGTGCCTCTACTGGCATATTAAACCCAGTTAAGTATTTCCACTGTCAAATGTTTTCTCATCACTCGACTAACTGGAAACCTTCAAATTCCCTCTCCTGGCAGTATTTACACTGTGGCAACAGTTTAAACAGTAGTATTAAAGACTATAAAAAACATTGTCCTCTTACATAAGTAACGTCCACATTTGTCCTTCCCTCAGCACAAAATGTTTGACAGGAAAGCCACATGAGGATGACACATTCACCACTGGTGGAAATAAGGAAGGAGCTAATACTGGTCTGTTATTCCAAGGCCATTTTGGTGCCTCCTTGTTTCAGTGTTATCTTCTGATAGTAAAATATGTCTCCCACTCAGTAGCTGGTTGAAGTTGTGGCGAGGACAGCCCTTTTTCACAGTAGACATGTTTACTTTTATTATCAGTAATGAAACTAACGTCAGTTCCATTTAAATGTCCCAATGAGCCACTAAAGATAATTGCAGCCTTAATTAATGAAAAATGTCTATTTAGAGCATTATTAATAATATTTGTTGTCTGGTTGAGGCAGTGAATGAATGAAGGATTGATCATACAGAATTAAAATAATGAAAATAGAAAAGCAGACAAACTATCAAATTCAAGAGATGAACATAAGTTTAATCAAGATTAAATATATGCCCAAAAGATCTTGCAACTCATAAGAGATCCAAACAAGTCAAAACAATACAAAAAGATGAGCTTTTCTGTCTGTCGTGTCAATAGTCTTACAATTTTATGCTTCCTACGAGTTTTGGACTTTCATTCTGGGTAAAATGTATACATATATCTCATTCACCATATTTTACAGTGCATTGATTTTCAAAACCATAGCCTTCTTCCACATCTAAAAACCCATACATAAACTCATTTATAGAATTATTTACATACAAGGCTTGAACAAGTCAGCTCAAACCATTTGGTGAGCAATAAGAAACAAACATCACACATCAGAACATATGGGAACTTTATGGCCCGGTAGAGCCATAAGTAGTGACATTTTGTTACACAAATCACTGAATGGAAATGAGGCAGGAGTGGTTTCTAATTAAATAATATCATGAATTGACACTCAGCAAGGACATTGGAGGATTACTCAACTTGCAAGTTATTCTGCCTCTTTGTCTTTAAAGTTTGGTTGCATACACACATAAAAATGTACAAATACAGTTCAACCAGTGATAAAGTGAAACCAAATCTCTCTTGACGCCTACTAAACACATTTGCTCATAATGCACCCAGGTGGTTGGTACACAAAGCATGCATATGCAGTGTGAAACTGAACAATCAATCTAAATTATGGCAACAAATCAACTCAAAGAAAAAAAGAATGTAGAATACACTTAGATGTCACAGCTGAGTTAGTAAGCAACCACGTCACCCAGGACACAAAAAATAAGTCTACATAATCTCAGTTTATTCAGGATACCTTATTTGAGATGACAATTTGAGTTAATTCATACCAGGAAGAAATCAACAGAACAGCAACACTGTATGTTGTGTATGGATCTTTGATTTGTGAGAGCGAGTGTAACAGTGCATCGTAACCCCCAATACAAATCATTTTTTTATTTAGGTGAACTTGTGTGTCAGAACTGAGTACAGCATCTCCAAACACAGAATGATAAACACAAAAACCTCCAAAGTAATTTTAATATGCATCTGTCTTAATACTAGCTCATTTTATCTTTTTTCCTTGATACTTTCATAAAGAATTCATGAGTTGATGGTTTAATCTGTCTCAGTTTAACCTTAGAAACCACTGTACTGAGGCAACTTACTTGAAGGTGGAACAAACTGAAAACAGCATCGCATATATAAAAACAAATATCTGTAGTAGAAAGGAAGAGCAAATATTTATTGAGTAATCTGTTTTTAAACTTCTTATTCTGTAACACACTGAGTTTGTAAAGCCTCACAGCCACATTCTTGACATGTGCATGTTATTTCATACTCACTCCTTCATTTGGCGTTCACCCTAAACACCATGGAATGACTTCTTGCTTGTCCTTCATGAATTTTGCCAGTAAACTCAACTTAAAAATAACATAGTCCTGGTGCATTCTGACAATCAGATTGTATTAAGAAAGAAAGCTGAAAGACAGACTGTTGTGAAGGAATAAGCCAAAAGGAGCGCTGCTTCCACATCACGTCAGATCTTCATATATGCATGGTGGCTAGGGAAGAGAATAACGGACTACTGCTCTACAACAAAAAAGGATCATTACGTTTGTGTGCACTGGTGTTTTTAATGTGTGTGTGTGAGACTTGGCAGAGACCAGAAGCTCTCTGCAGAACAGAGAACGTAGTGTTATGAAGTACATTTGATTTTCAACATTGTGTTCTTGTGGGATAAACAACCACCATTACCACCAAACAGGAAACAGTTGGCTCAAAGAGCGTTGGACTCGCCGGGTTTCCGTTCACGGTCATTAGAGCGTCACTCAGGGCAGAAGCAGCCACAAGGCCACGTTGGACAGTGTTGGGCTGGGGTGGTGACAGAAGAGGAGCCCAGAGTGAAAAGTGGTAAAAATACAATATGAGAGCAAAGTCCTACAGCTTGGTCTATGTGAGCGCAGCAAGGACAGGTGGTGAATATATAACAGGTATACACACTCCTCTTCCAAGGGCTCGATGCCAGGCTCTAGCATGGGTGCAGCTTTGGACACGCATACACATACAGTACATACATATTAGTCTAATCTCCAAACTTGGGCTCCAGATGTGTCTCTTTGTCACCCTCTGGTGGTTTTGTCCAGAACAGATCTGGTATCACTTTCTCCCTCACACACACACACACATACAGGCTGCCATCGCACAAATCCCCACCTACAGACACACACGCACACACATATATGAACATACACACTCCTTGGCTCCCCCTGTGTCTGTATTCAGGCTTATCTGGTGTAGTAGACTCTGTAGTAAACACTCTTGGAGCGCCAGAGTGAATAGGAGTTGTCAAACTTGAGCAGGTAGACGCCACGGCCGGGGTACTGGTGGCTGCCGGCGTACACCTCTTCGTGACAGTCCCGCCGGTACACCGGCACAATCTCATCCACTTGTGGCTTCCCTGCCTCCTTCTTCGCCTTCTCCTCCTCATTGGGAGGATCACCTGTGGCCACAAGAACAATGTATCAAGTAGTGGAAGAAAGCGCGAGGGAATCACCAGTCACACACACACACACACACACACAAACATACAGACACAGAGAAACACTCACACAATTATGCAAAGCTACCATTAACCTTAATCTTATCGAGCTATGTGTGCCTCAATCCTGAGCACATGGTGGGACATTTTGAGCACTGAATAAGATAAGCACATTAATTACAGTTTGTAAATTATATATTCTATACAAATTATAAGCACAAATAATTTCATAGCATACAAAAATCTATTGTGCTCAATACAGTTGTCCTTTTTTCACAAGATTCCCATTGTGCACACAGGATTAAGGCAGAAATCTAATGCAATATAATAAAGCTTAACATGACACCATTGCAGATTATTTGGCATTTTGAGATAATAATTGGCATCAGCCGATGTCTGCACTCACAAGGCCGATACACTAAAAATGCCTGCAGACACATCTGCTGGCAGCCCTGTCAGTGTGGCTGCTGTCGAACGGTGTTAGTGCTCCCTTTGTGATTTATGGGACGGTTAGTTTCGAGCCCTCTACTTTAACTCTCAAGCATCCTGCTGTAAACGTTGTCTAATTTCTCCAGTCACCATAGTCTTTTCTAAATGCTAACATGTACCTCCCATTCTACGTTACAGCAAATCTAATAAATTGTTACTGGCCAGCGTTAAGTATAGAATAATGCAGGTGAATGACATTGCTTCTGACATACTGTACCCCACTCTCCCTTAAATACCAGTCATGTTCTGAAATCTGCAGCATAACACAATGTATTTCATTAATTAATAAAAAAAACAACAAACACGCTACAGGTTAAAATAATCACGTATATTATGTAGTGATGTGCATGGAATAATTTTACTTGACATGACTTACTTGTATTTGATTTTTAGTTATCAGAGTCTCTTACTTACAGGTAAAATCAAAACAAAACATTCATACTACAAAATAAATACATACAATAATAAAATACAATCTCCTGAGCAAAACCTACTAAAATACACAACTGCTAAACAAGTATAGTTTAGAAGGACTGAAGGATCTGCCAAAGGCTAATGTGTGCAGTTAACCAACAAACCCATGCCAGTACTAGTGCGCAATGCCTTCTATCTTATCAACATATTGTGAGAATTCATTTCTCAGCAGGACTTCCTCTGCCCCGGGTAGAACTATGAAATGTTTAACTATGGTGTAGGCAAGTTCTGAACTTGAGATAAGAATAAAATATTATGGAGAAACTATTCATCTTTCCATAGGGAGATAAATGAAGCAAATTAAATAAACAGACATTCCTATTCAAAGCAACTGTTTCTGTGCCAAAGATGGATGATTAAAATAAGCACCATTATTTGACACGTCATTAAAATAGTATGTGATGTATGGTATCCACAGCAAATGGCAGATCAAAATGGAAATCATGACCCATCTGTATCATTTCAGATTCCATTTTCAGTTCTTGGAAAAATAATCTGCTTTGCATTTCTTTTTCAACACACTGGGGTAACAGAGCACACACCCACACACACACACCCACACACACACACAGTAAAACCCTCGCATTGCTGCCACACCTCAAAATATAGTATCAGAAACACTGCAGTCTTATTCACACAGACTTCCCACCCACACCTCACCTTCTTCATCCTCCTCCTCATCGCTGGACTCAGATACGTGCACGCTGACCGAGGCAGAGGCAGCATCCGTCCACTCGAAGAACACCCCGAAGCCGATGTCATAATAGTCCGTGGCAAACTCCCAGAACAGGTAAGAGCCCTCCTCGTGGGTGGGCACACGCACTGTCACCACCTCGCCACGCCCCACTGTGATCACACTGTCTGCGTCCTGCCTGATTTTCTCCTTGAAGTCCTTGATCTGTGGCCGTGTCCACATGGAAGGAGCAGCTATGACTGGTGGGGAGTCTGCTGTGATCAAAGGACAACAGACTTATTACAATCTGTTGTAAAAATCTAGCTAATACAATCTGCCCATGCAGGTATCCTTTTAGGAAAGAAATATTACAGTTTCATTTCCAACCAGCATACATGGACTGAATGCAGAAGTAACTCAACGTACAGGCCACCTATAAAGTCAGCTAATGGAAAAAAAGAAAAAAGAAAAGAGAGCGTGCATGTGTACATGGGACCAATGGCAGGGTTGGCAGGCTACGCATCCATCTTTCCTCAAAACATTATTTTGAGAGTGAGCGGCCGGCCACAGTGGATTAATTTGGCTCAGGATGTATGTTTTGGAATCACACCAAGGCCTTGTTCAATTCTGGTGTGAGTGCTTACTCCTCTGTAAGCAGAATGTGTGGGTGGATGTTACCTAAACCAACAGAATATCACGTATCACTTGTTCCAGCTCCTGTCCTCCCTGCCCTCCAGGTCACATCAACAAGGACACAGCAGATAAGAATCAGGTTTCAATTTTGGTATAAAGCTTTGTTTGTTTGACAGAGAGCCCCCCCGCCCCTGTAGCCATTAGCTGCACAGAAATGCAGATTGTATCTGCATTAAGTCATCTTCCCAAGTTTTTGTTTTTTTAAACGAGACAAACACATCTACAGTCCACCAACCTAATAAAGGCCCGTTCTCCGAGACCTCCTCCGCAGGTTCGGGCTCTGGCTCCCGGTCCATGCTCTCTGAGTACGAGTCCGACTGGCCTCCATTGACCGTGGGGGCTTCCTCTCCAGCAGGCGGTGAAGCTGCACACAGCGGTCCTGCTGTTGAGGCGGGGATAGGTTCACCACTGTTGAAGCTGCTAGATTCCAGAGAGCCCTGCACCATCAAATCAGCCTGCTGCTGCTGCTTCTGTAAGGCCGCCTGAGACAAGGGGCAGACAACAGTGAGTCAAGACGTTGAAAAACACATACTACCTATGTACATAAACAAAGAGTGTTCGGTTTCTACAGTGCTGTTGGAAGGGTCACACACTGCTCTCATATGAATTACATTGTAAGTGTAAGGCTGCAACATTACGGCTAGAATTATCATCTTAATGTTTGCTCAACACTGTGGTTGTCACAATGCACCATGATTACTTTCTGCATAGTATCAAGGTTTCACCAGCCAAGAGTGCTGTTAATAACTGCACAAAAGTAAGCTTTTTAAACTTAAACCAACTCTTATTTATTTTTCAACTGACGTTTTAAATAGCCACATGGCTAGTTTCAATATTCTGTGGATGTTCACAGTAGCACCCGAGCTTAAAACCTTTCTATTAACTGCAAAATCTAAAAATAGAAAATCAATCAATGACAGTCTATCCCTCGGTTAGTGTTACATATCACCTGTTGCTGGGCCAGCTGGACCTGGTAGAGCTGCTGCATGTACTGCTGGTAGTGCTGCTCCTGGAGCTGTCGGATGAGGCCGAGCTGTTGCTCTGGGCTGTTGGGGTACTGTTGAGCAGCATACTGTTGGAACTGCACTGCTGTCTGCGCGTTCAATGCCGCCATTATCTGTTGCCTGGGACACAGAACACAGGAGCAGAGTTGGTCAGGAAGGAAATACAGGAAACAGAGAACAGACAATGATAGACAGCGTAAAGTTCAGGGTTCAAAAGAGAGAGAAGAGTTTTAGTGAGTATGGAGAAGTTGATACATTGCAAACACACAGACACACATACTTCTGCTGCTCAACCCGTAGCCTCTCCTCCTCTGCCTGTCTCCTTTCCTCTTCCTCTCTTCTCAGCCTTTCCTCCTCCTCAAGCCTCCGTCTCTCCTCCTCCTGCCTCTGTCGCTCCCTCTCCTCCTCCTCCTGCCGCTGCCGCTCCTCTTCTTCTTTCCTGGGGTGGAACAAAAATAATGAAATACATCATCACCACCGTCGGTTTAAACAAACCATACACCATCAGTCAATAAATGTCCGATATCTCCCCTGCTGTTTCACAGTTTTGCTGACTGTATATAGGACAAACTGAAATGAGAGTCTGTATTTAGACTCTCTCAGGGGAGCTGAAGTCGAGCACCTTACCTTTTCCTCTCCTGCTCCTCCCTTTCGATCTTGTGTGACGTGACGTAGGGAGCAAAGAGGTTACAGCACTTGTTCAGCAGCTTGACAAACTCCACCATGGCCTCCTCCCGCTCCATGTTACCCAGGGAGGCCCACTCTTTCCTGCACACAGAGTGCGAATGGAGGTCAAGATAAATAACAAGAACAAGCAGCTGGGCACATTCCTTTTTACATGACAAATTTAAATCTGTAGCATTGTTAACTATTGTTTCTTTAGATTAGAACAATAAACAAGGAATACTTCATTTCTACAGTCAGAACCATCGTGAGTGTGGCAGTGAAAGGGGCTATCTTACATCAAAGGTTTTCACAAACTTCTAACACATAAAGGAAAAAACAAGTGTTAAATGGACTTAATTAACACTTCAGTGAGGGTGTGTGCACTTCCTGAAGGTCATACAGATGTGTGCTGCAGTTACCTGCGGTCGTTGCCCAAGACATCAAAGAAGCCGACCTCCGGTGAAGCATCGGGATTGTAAGGGCCCAGTAAGACCTGTTTGTGCAGAGCCACCAGTCGAAGCTTCTCCTCGTAGGTCGGGTGGAAGGCCTTGCCATCTTTATCTGAGGGCGACAATGTGGAAGCAATGAGTTTGCATTTATTTGTCTTTTATGTCCTGCTGTTAAAAAAAAAAAAGTGCTTGTGAATACTACACCTTTGTTTCTTTGTGCAACGTGGTTGTAGAAACAGTAGTAGCATATTAGAGTATCATATTCTTGTTCCAAAAAGTATAAAATGGAACAGTTACCATTCTCCTTTTTCAAAAACAATGCACACTTTAACTTCAAAATAAACCAACCTCATGGCACATACTGAAATGTAATTAAATCTAAGGTGAGGCAAGAAGCAGATTTGTGTATACAAGTTACGCAATAAGACCTAACGCTCATCTGACTAGAAATACAAAGCACAGATTACTATTCCACAGACCAGGCCCAAACCTGTTTGTACAGTCATCACAAGTGCTTTGCTCTAATGAGGACAATTCAAATGCCCAGTGTTCAGACGTTCTTATACATGTTGAGGACATTTGCAAAGAAAGAACTGACATTTTTAATTCATACATGTCATCTGACAAGTTAGATCTGAAAGACTAATACACTTTGGATACACTGTGCTGTTAATTATTACTTTTAGAGATTTAAAAAAAAACTAAAATGGGGCTTTAATCTTGAAATTTTAATTATTATACCTTGTTATATATTGCAATAATACATTTTTCATGTTATCTTTTGAGGCCAAACTATTTAAAGTAAGGGCACTGGTGTCAATGGTGTTTTAAGGAGATGCTACAGGCGGTCCGGGTTAAACAGCCTTCCAGTTTTAATGCATGGAAAACACAAATACAGCGATTAGCCTGTTTTCTTGGATTTCCTGTTGGAGCAGTGGCAGCAGGGAGGGGTGTGGATGTGAGGATGTGAGGAGGCAGTGGGGCTGTAAAACAGGCTGGTGGTCAGACATCCCTGTCAGCGCTGAAAACGTGGCGTTAGGCAAACACAGACTATGGGCCAGTTTATCCTCAGAACAAACTAAATAAAACCCTTGAGCACAGCGGGAACCTGTGAGCGTCTAAGCGGTGTGTGTAAAGCAGCTGACATGCAGCCTTCAGCCGCAGCGGTGGAAGGACAGGGCGTGTTTAAAGCTCCCAACAAATCACCATGAGCCACCGCTCCGTTAGGATGGGTAGCTGCTTACAATACTACTTTGTTGATAGAGCAGTCGCATGATTCACAGGCTCACGACAAGCCAGGTTATTCTGCCCGAAACCCAAAGACAGGTACACAACAGCGGGCCAACAGCCGAGTGAAAACTGTCCTCAGGCCACACACACACACACATATATGGACCGAGCTTGTTTTACGCTTTAACAGCCAGCTAAATCTTGTTAGCGGTGTCGGCTCCTCGTTAGCTCCGTGGTTAATGTTAATGTAAATGTAAATGTTAATGTTGCGGCTGACAGCAGCTCCGGCTGTGACAGCTAACGTTAGCTAACCGCTAACCTCCGCGAGCAGCGAACGGCTGGTCTCTCGGTTTAAACGGTCGGTTCGAACGCTGGCCGTTACCGACCGTTAGAGACAACGACGTTAAATACCTTTGAAGAATTTCAGGGCCATTCCGTACAGCTCTTGCAGAGGAAAGCCCCATTTCCTCTCTGTGGCAGGTTTGCCAGTCTCTCCATCTTCGCCTTCAGCGGCACCCGGCGTATCGGTCTCGGGCTCCGCGTGGTTGGGGTCCGGCTCTTCGACCGGGCCCTGCTCGCCCTCCGGGTCGGGACTGAGGGTGAGGCCATCGATGGAAACTTCGAGCCGGCTGGAAGTAGCACTGTCGAGGTCGCCGCTCTGAACCTCTGTCGCCATCATGTAGACTGTCAGCTGAAGCAGCCACGTACCTACTTCCGTTTAGACTTGGCGGAAGTTCCGGGAGCTTTTTTTTTTTTTTTTTTTTTCTCGATGTAAATAATGACGACGCTTTAACGATAGATAATTATTCAATTATCATTTTTTTATAAATCGGATTTTCTTTATTTATCTTTATTCTGATATTTATTTATTTTTTGTATTTTGAGCTAACAGATTACAGAAAAACACGCAAGAATTATTTAGTTTTTGTTATCTTACTCAGGAAATAATTATTACAAAGCAAAAATGGCCAATTTTTAAAAATGTATTTGATTAATTTTAATGTTACAATAATATTATTGTAAAAACAAATGGCAAACAATAAAAACTAACAATTACTTTAATACGTAGTAATTTAAGACCATTTTTATTTTTATCGTTAAAGTTCATTCTATGCTGACACTGAATATGTGCATATCTAACGTATGATAAATAAACTAATACAGGTGCTGAAGAAGCCAATAATTATTTAAATGTTTGATGTGACAATAAATTAATGAATTCAGACACACAATCTTCTTAATGTCGGTACAGACCATATGTTACAACACTGATTAAAAAAAAATCTCAGTCTTTTAAATTAGGTTAAGCTTTATTGAACAGATTGCAGAATAAACCTCCTAAAACACAATAAAATACATATAAAATACACAAATAATCAAAAGAATTCCTAAGTTAAATCTGTTCTTTAAGGTGTGTAACTAGTCTTAACTTTTTAACTTCAGATTTTTGTAGTTTTGAGTGTAGGGCACAAACACCAAAAAATATATTTTTGTTTTAAAATGTATCTTGGCTACTATTTATCCTTGCAGTGGAATGGATGGGTTTCTGTTCATTTATTTTAGTAAACGTAACTATAAATAATAATAATTATAAATAATAATAATATAAAAAGCATGACAAATACTGTCCTTTTTCATAAGCACAAAAAATAAGGACGCATTAAATTTGGATATTAAAAATTTGTGACACAGCTGAAAAATAAACGTATCAATTATTAAAATCTCTACTGACACCAATGCCATTTTATCTGCAATAAGCTAATATAGACTGTCAACGTATAAGCCCAGGTGATTTGTTGATCCAGGCTAATATGAATACACTTCACAAATCAGTCCTTAGAAGATGCGTATACAACAACAATCACACTCAACTACAGCTTGTGATAATATTAATGCGCTTTTACACTGAGCACACATTTCTATTAGGAAACTATAAATGTACTGTAGCTCCTTAAAACATCCCTCAAATACACAAAGACTGAACTCATAACAAAGGCACATAAGCCAGTTGATGTTTTAACATATAGCTGCAAACTTGTGAGGATAATTTACCTGTCTGTCTGCATGGTAAATGTATAGTGGTCAGGTCAAACTGGGGGTTAAACAGTGGTCAGACTTTAAAGGTGTGAATGCTTTTGTTTGTGTCTACAGAGTCAGCTGCCAACTGTAGGTAGTCAGTGAAAATCCCAAAAAGTGTTTGCACTGTTTGATGTTTGAAAGTCCAGTCGGTTAACTGCAATACATCAGGATTAATCAACTTAGTGTGATATGACGATAAATGACTGATTTCTATCATGTGCTGCCAAGAAAATTCTGACTAAATACAAACACTAAAAGCAAAAGTACATTACACATTTCCTGCACTTGCAATGCTGAATTTATATTCTTCATCAGCCACAGCTGAAGGGCTTTATGGCCATAGATGAGTGTACGTTTACCGTTCATGTCATGATCTGCAGATAGCTCTCAGAAAACCTGTCATTGTCCATCACAAAAGATCAGGAACTTCAACAGCCTGATTTTTGCATAGCAATCTGGTCTGTGCACACAGGCAATACCCAATTAGGGCTCTCAGACAAAGAAACCTGTGAACTGTGAATGTCTTTACCAACAAGCACATCCTATCTGAACAATGCTGTATGTGTCAAAAAACAGAGATCAATAAGTGCTGTTGTGGATGTGACACAATGGCTGTCAAGTCATTTTGCCACAGAGATCAACAAGAAAATAATCAGAAATAGTGTTTGGGTTTTGTTTTTTAGGACCATGCTACAGGTCTCTTTCAGTACATGATGCTAACTTCTTATTTAGCCAAAAATGTCATCTACTCCACAATGATGACTTAAACACAGTTACAGATGTATCCCATAAATCATATGAATGGGGATGCAGTAATAACTCTGGCACTTTTTCACTTCATGTTGCAATAATCTCTTCACCCACACCCAAAGTAATTAAATATGATTTATAAAATTGAGCCTATAATTGACAAAGTATGTACAAAAAAATGACTGATGTAAAAAAACAACAACCCTTGTCTGTTTTTAAAAGTACATGTAACCATAAAAGCTCATTCCTGCAAACCTTGTCTAAATATGTGTGAACAAATTAGTTTGTCTGTGGTGCTACCTGACCTCCTGACTTGATCCCCCCTCGGAATCAGATGAAGGTGAGCCATTCAATGACGAGCGCCCATTCCTGAGTACTTTTGAACTGAGGTTTGTGTATTGAGATTAACTTTGTTGCTACTGAAAAGGGCCAGGAAGCATAATTTCCTACATAGATCAGTACTGAGGAGCAGAACTTAGAAGACATGCATCTATATAAGACATAACTTATATTATTTGACATTTAAGATGAAATGAAATACAAAATCACCAAAGAAAACCATTACAACACCATGGGAACATACAGTAGCCTATGTCTAGTTACAGAATCACAGTTGGGGGGCATACATTCATTTTGAATTGCATATCTTGTAGGTTAATTTATTTAGTGTCTTCCTGCTATACTAATAAAATACAGTATAATATATATGCACTGTAGCACATATATTTTACTATGTCTACAAACACAGCATGCATATACAGCATAGGAAACTGGCCATATAGAAATATTTTATATTTTTTGTAAAATAATGCACAATAATATGCAATTTGAATGAGATTATTATGTAGAGAAGAACATTTATACATTTGTGTTATCAGGCCACAAACCGCTGCCAGTGCGAGGCTCTAACCCGTTGAGGAAATGGCAGTTTCCGACCGTCTCTCTTTGAAGGCTACAGGTCCATTATTGCTTCATCCATTCCAAAGCGGATAAATGTTTTCACTACCGATGTGTATTGAGCATGCAGATTCCATTAAAAACCCTTTAAAGAGACCTGCGGCCGCTCCACCGTCCCAGGTGTGATGCTTTCACACCTCCACCGGCCTGCAGACGTCTGAAGTTGCTCCACGGCCGCTGCAGCGCCAGCCGGCACTGATGGTCGCCCCATTCACACATACAGGCAGCACCACCTTTGATCGCAGGAGGATTTAACCCCAGCGAGCGCACAGGTCTCAAACTCAGTCAGTTTGAAGTAAGACGTTGAGGAACATGTCTTCAGTTCATGGGAATATGCGCGTCGGGGATCTGAATCATTTCCAGATGTATCACGAAGGAGCTCTGCAGATGAACAGCATGGTGAACTCAGGTTGGTGGCTGGCAGCGCTGTGCGTAATTTACGCACAAGACCAGTGTCACGTTTCTATGATTCCTGCTTATCTAACGTTAGAAACTAACAGTCTGTGCGTTTACTTTTCAGATTACGGAGCGTCTGATGTTACAAACTACTACAACTCTGCAAACTCTGTACCGAGGGCGGATAAATGCGTGGCAATACTGACCCACAGGAGGAAGAGGACCAACTTCACCCAGCAGCAAATTGAGGTGCTGGAGAAAGTTTACTCAGACACTAAATATCCTGACATCTACCTCCGGGAGAGACTGGAGGCTCTGACCGGGCTACCGGAGTCCAGAATTCAGGTACTTTAGTAGTTTAAACTCCTAGCTCCCTCAGATATCCATCGTTCTATTGTGTTTGTTTAAATATAGGTTCAACTGTGCTCACGTTTGTTTTGTTTCCCTACAAATTTCAGGTGTGGTTTCAGAACAGAAGGGCCAAGTCTCGTCGCCAAGTTGGCTCATCAGTGTCAATGAAGGTCGCCAACCCGCCAGCAGCTGGCCCCTTCAGCCAACTCCAGAGCAGGATGGGACCAGAGAAAGGTAATTATTACTGTCACAGATCTTTGTGTTCTGGTTCAGTTCCACTTTTTTTTTTTTTTTTTACTCAAGCCTCAAGTGGCCTGCTCAGCCATAGCTGTTCCTCACAAAAATAACTTCTAGTCCTTTCATGTAAGTCACATGAATAAGGCTATTTGCTACTGAAGACACTTCATTTAAAGTCA